AGTTGACAGTCCACCGTAGCGGCCGTGTTACTGCCTTTAGTATCGCTCATCGTTCGACAGACTGGAGTTAAGAAGTCTAGCGCGATGTGAGTTATTGACGGCTGTGGTTGCTGAATCGGAACCGTCACGGACTTCACAAATGGCTTAAGGGCATCTTAAATTGTTCTTTTCGTCAACGCTGAACCGTGATAAGTGGGGACGATAACGTTGTACGCCCTCAGTCAGATTTTTAGGGACGGATTTCTCGATAAATCGAGAAACGTTGTAAAGAAACGTCCTTTCCTGGTCTACTCTGGTTACCTTGACATGTCGTAAGCAAATAGGAAAGTGCCGGCACGTATCCACAAGGACGTCAGAGGGCATTCCAAAAAAGCAAAGAAAGTTTCAAAGAAGCTCTTTTAGTAATAGTTTTTTATAATCCCAAATGATCCATATAATTTACAGCCTTCTACGTCCACCTCTATATCATATGCATGCAACTTATATTTAACGCGTAGATTATCTAATATTCGTCCTGAATCATACTAGAATACTGCACACATAAAAGCCTAGAATAGAAACTTTTGGAAGCTCTATCCGACAAAGGGACTCTATATGTACGAGGACGAATTTTCAACTTTTGTATTTCTTTTATGAAGAGCTAGTTATTTATTCCATCAACGATCTTTGAGAAATCTAAATGCGGTAATCGGTGTTTAGCGAAACCATGTTGCTGAGGGTAAGAAACGTTGTTAGCAAAAAAAAAAAAAAAACATTATTTTAACCACTACAGTCGTCTTCATAATCACACATGGCATAGAGCAACGCAGAGCAGAACGGCAGATTTTTAGCAAAGTCCTTCTAGCTTTATTTAGGATGAGGAAGGCAATCGATTCTCGGAAGCAGCTTGATGCATTACACGAGCGAACGAACATCATTACAAGAAATGCTATTGCCAAGGACATATAGCTTAGCAAATAGGACCGGCGGAAGCTGATCGTGTGATACATTCGTTAATGCACGCAGTTTTCTAAACATGCAGGTTTTGGCAGATGCTCGTCGTTAAGCTGCGCTCCCCCGTACACTGTGCCGAAAATGTTATCGGCTTCATGTGAAGGTGAGTATTATCACAGTACTCGTAATTTGGCCAGGTCCTCAGCTATAATATCACCACTGACAATTTATGTGTTTGTGAGCTTAACCAATGACCGTTTCGTATTCTATACAATTTTTTTGAGTCTTCATCCACAGTTTATCGTTACTGTAGCCTGTTTTAATCCAGCAGGCGTTTTCTAGAACTGCCGTTGCTCTCTGAATAAATGCAGCTTGTTGGATCGATTAGAGAAAATAATTGCAGACTCAAGTCGCATGTCACACAAGGATAAAATAGGGCAACATGTTTTTTCAATTCCTTGAATGAACTCGTACATAATTGTATGATGTTTTCATGCAATTAGGTATGGTATATAAAATGTGCAATATATGTGATTATAACTAATGTGCAATGTACGTGTGAAGATCATCGGACGAAATTGGAAAAAAAAATACTCACTACTACATCAGGTTTTTTATTTTGCTCGATAGGTTGGATCATTCCACGTACATACTCTGGAGTCAAGTACTAGTGCCTTATTCGCGCTGGTAGGACATTGCATGTGCATATTTGGGTTTTTGGTATGATCGATGAAGCAACGCAACAGTGGTTAGAAGAAAATCGACATCATTTCTCAACAAAGCGATAAAAATAACGAAAAAGTTATCACGGTCATTTTTTGTTAGATTCTTCACTTCCCTAACACACTTTGGTGACTCTCTCAAAGCCAATTTTGTACCTTTTATTCTCGTTTTGAAGGCATTTCAAATATGTTCTCACCCAGCAAGGGATGTCGAATAATCTGTGCATTATTTCTAGGCTTCTTATTAGCAATTGTCGTAAAACCGGCTCCTCATATCAGCAGGTCGACGGACTCAAGGCACCGTCATATATGGCTTCTCATTATGATACTGCATCGCATCGACTTGGGTTGCATACGTTAGGTATTTCACAAGTGCAAAACAGATATATATATATATATATAGATATCTATCTAGTGAAAAGTTATTTAAAAGGGAAGGAGGCCATCATTAGGATACTAATTAAGTGTGCCTTTTTTAAACGGGGAGAGAAGAGAAAACCGAAGCTTTCTGAACAAGCCTGTCGGAATATATTAGCAGACATAGCTAATCCTTGTCGTCCCCAGCTTCACTCATCATCACATGTGATGAACCTGTCATACTTGATTGTCTTACATACTAAATGGCATCACTCCAAGCCATACGATCTAAATCGAGCAATTTGGGAATGTAGTGGAAAAGGGCGGTTAATCAGCTCAACCGAAAGGCGTTTTTGCAGGAATACAGAACTCGAAAAGTACAGCGCGCAGACTGGTAATTTCGACCCCCTACAAAAAGCGCCTAATACGCCTTACGTCCTATCTACATTTGTCCAAATGTCACTTTTTCTCAAAGCGCACCCAGCCAGAATACATTTGTATATTGGGATACGATTAATCGATTAAATTTGCTTCTTAGTATATCAGTGAGATGATTATCTAACAGTTATACACGCGTCGAGGTTAAGTTGAATAAGGAATCTCCAGTGAGAAACGTTGTATTCGTTAGATCAGACAAATTCCTTTTGTATTATGGCAAGCAAACTGGGTTACCTAAAAACATGTCATTTGACACAGACACACCAAAGGCCATTGATACATATAAGGCTAATTTTAGGCAAGTGTGATCGTACCAAGTCAAGTGGGAGTCTCTTGGGTACCAGTGCAATTCGCTACCTCAGTGCCCTGTACTTGCTAATACCTAAAACAAACATTGCCACATGAATCTTCTAGTGGTAACGGTTGCTGTAACATCTTGATGCATCTATTCAGTAACGCTATTCAGCGTAAGGTCTTATGCGGATAGGAGTGGGAACATAGGGTGCCGTGGAAGACCGAATCTCTTGAATTTCCACTCGGTTCTAGATATAATACGGTAGCAGTTCTCGATGTGGATATCAGACCTTTGACATTTTCTTTCCCTGATCCAAAACATTGAAGAGATCAAATTTAATGTTAATAATTTTATAAGTTAATTTATAAACAATTATATATATAAGGACTTCCACTTATACTGGTTGTCCCAAATTGCCTTAGAGTAAAGGGCTAAATTGTACAATTTCTTCAGCCTGAATATACTCTGCCCGTAAGTCTGCTGCTTATGCAACAGCTCATCTAACAACAAGTAGAGAAGCTTACGAGCATCTATCATGCAAATATGTTGTCTTGTGCAACGTAAGCTTTAATAAATCTTTTTGAGCCCAGCGCTATCCAATTTTCAAGCCTTTTATTAGGCCTACCTCACCTTTCGTTTAGGATATTTGCTCCGGACCTTGCCGCAAGTCAGTGCAGCTACAGCCGGCTACAGTTGTGATGATGCCTTAGCAGCCACTGGCTTTGATGTGGTTTCAAATCATGACCAGTCTACTATCTGACTTCGACATCAGTGTGATAGGCTGCTTCAAAACTGTTTCTTCAAGTTCTTGGTTTATTAACAGTCACCTTTCCTACCTGTTACCAAAGTTGATTTCTGAAAAAATAATTCTCTATTATTCCGACTCTGTTGACGGAATTTTTATAAGCTTGCTTTTTGTTGCTGAAAGTAGCGCTACTAGTTTCGATACTAAAGTTATAAGTTATTTAGTATCTATGCAATTAGAGACTAAAGCTTCAAAACACTTGGTCATAATCAATAGCTTGTGCTCGAAGATCATGAAATATACTAATGATAAAGCTAAATTATTATACCAAATACACATGGAACTTCAGGGAAAATAATCAACGAACTGTTCAGTTATTGAACAGAGCGTGACTGGATTATCATTTGTGTGTTCTTCCCTCGCTGGAAGGTGAGGCGGTTTATGTAAGCGAGTTATCTCCTCATCGTTATCAACATTAATTGTTAAATAGAGACCTATCCAAGAGTGAGAGAATGATGATTCTACTTTGTTTCGTACTGTCGTTAACAGTAGCAGTTACTCTCACCTCAATGATAATTTCAACCGTAGGCCAACAACGAGGGCACCGAGAGGCGGTAAATCGGAAGGCGTCTTCTACAAAACGTCGTTCAGTGTCATTTACCGATGTTGCTTATATTTGATTGGGATTTTGTAGATCCATAATATTATAATGTACCTTGGTTTTCGAGATCGTTGTCAAGGTAGCAACTGAACAATAACACAATGAAATCATTCGTGTTGATTGGTTTAGTCGAGAGCTAGCCCTTCATCGCTTCAGAATGCATGCTGACATTAATGACCCTTCAACGGTCCTCTTCTGCACAGCATAAACTTTAGTTATTTGAACCAATCCGCCAAAGGCTGTCCAGTTGAAATTATTCCTTGAAGATTCACTTCTTCCGTGTCCGACACTTAATTTAATGGAAAATACATTTTTTTCTGCTTTCTTCAGAAAGTATAAAACTTCAGAAAGACTCTACATTAGTTACATTACCCTAGTCATGTACATTGCTGATGCGAATTACATTGATAAAATAAACCATCTTACCAAGGTGCACTTAAATAAATAAAACCATTCTGAGAAGAAGTTTTCCAATTTCCTAGCGAAATTAGACTCCTTTTGATGTATTAGCAATTTAATACGAGGGACATTATTGCAAGGTATGCGGCCAAACATCGTCAACAAATAAAATATCGAATGTATTCATGTTGAGATGATTCAAAATGCAACACCATCCAGAGTACACATGTTCTCGAAATAATAATAATATTTGTCTTTCCTGATTGAGACGATGCTAGACGGGCCTATCACCTGTCCTTGTTAGCAACTGAAATACAAACACGAATAGACAATCAAGCGCCCATTACGGATTCTGTTTGGTTCAAGAGGGCCATGCAAATTCAACGAAAAAACGTTCGTATTTGACGAAATAACTGATCAAGAAGTTGCTTCGAGACCAATTGTATATTAACATTTAGTGAAGTTGGCTGCGCCGTTTCGTATAGACGACGAAACGACCTTGGTCTCATACCATACCAGTCGGCCGTCAGACTTCGCTTGGAATTGCACAAGTGTTATAACTTCATCAAGTAGTGGCTAATTTGTTTCTGGACTTGGATCGATAATCATATTGAGAGAAAGAATTAAAACCAGAGAGACGAGCACGAAATGAGGCAGACTCCTGATCCGTGGGATGGCGCAGCTTCCGCGTTATTAAATCTTCTAGGTGGCGGGCTTGGTCTAAATGCCCAATGTGCACCACGAAATGCGCCAATACAGCCATCAGAGGGGCATCAACAGCTCATGAATGTCGCAGCAATGCCATTTGGCGGATACGGAGGAGGTCCATCGATGCCTTACGGGCCTACACCGCCGCAGCAATTCAATCCTGCACAACCACAGCAGTTCGCCCCGCCAATGCCGTACGGTTCTCTGCCACCATACGGCCCACAGATGTCCTTTCCCCAACCACAGTTTCCGTACGGACCCCCAACACAGCCTTTTGCTCCCCCGGCATCGATGCCTTTTGGTCCATGTGGCCCACCAGGGCAGCCGTTTTGCCCATCATCGCCGTTTGGCTCATTGCCGCCGCAATTTTGTCCGCCAGGCTCACCGTTTGGTTCGGCGTCTCCTCTTCCGTTTGGTGTAGCAGCACCACCGCCACCCCCGCCATTTTGTGGGTCGACAGGTCCGCCGTACCCCTCGCAGCTAGCGTTGCCATATAACCCGAGCCCACAACTGCCCTATGGCCAGCCAGCGCCATATGGGATGCCGACTGGATCATATGGACAACCGTTAATTTGTAGCCAACAAATGCTATGCGGTCTACCACAACCGTGCAATCCTCAACAGGATCCGTCGCAAATGCAGCTCGGCCAGCAGCCACAGGTACCCCCGGGTCAGGTGCCGGTGCCACCGGGAACACCTCTGCACCCCTCATGTGGTCAGTTACCCAGTGGCCAACAACCCGCGCCATTACAGCCGAGCCAGTCTGGCCAACAGGCTCAGCCTGGTCAACAGCAGACGGCGCCACCACCTGTTCAACAGGCAAATGGCCAACCGCATTGTCACATGCTTTATTAGGGCGTGAGATAATGCGTCCTGTACGTGCAGTCTCCTGGTTTTGTCCAACATCACTCAAATGCCCGGCTTAGCGTGATGCTGTGTTGCACTTTCAAGAGAATCTAGAGGATTTATAATCGGCTATTTCGTTTCGACGAAGTAGTTTGTTATTAGATCTCTGCTATACTCTGCGTGATAATATTAAAATTGATTCTACGTTCTACCCAACTAGTTCAAAGTTCTTGTTTGTGTGTGGCTGTCGCTTTAGATTTTAAGTACGTGTGAAAATGTGCAATCCACCCACAACTTCTAGTAGAGCTATCTATATAAAGTATATTACTTATCGATATGTAAAATGGTAAATTGAACGAATTGTCATTACTTAGTACCAAGTTTATTTAGTACCAAGTTTATTATGCTGTAGCTCATTCTGGAAGAGAATTGTGCGACCTAGTTGTGCGTAGGTGCTACATGTCTCACTGAATTTAGTTCAGCTCACCAGTCTCCGCAGCGCCACTAATGCAGCACTAACAAATGTGAATGCTGCGAAACACTATATGAAACGATGCGCAATAGACTTTAACAGCGAGGCTGCGGTTCATTTCTGTTCTGTATTATCATATCGCGCATAGACCCTGTGTAATTGTTGTAGATTTGCTAGAAATGCTAAATAACTAAATACGGAAGTTAATCCATATTACGCCTAGTTCCAGTTAACTGATGGAAGGCAGCTTCGAGCGTGGCGTTGCACTCACCTCCTTCAATGAAGCTAAGCCTTACAGAATTTGTAGAGCGACCACGAGTTTAATAATGATATTAACACAAACGGTTCGTTTTAGTTCCGAACTGCCGTAAAATTTTTACCGTTAATTCTACGATGGATCCCTTGATAGTTGGACGTGGACGTCCAACGCATATTTGATTATATCACAACGAAGCCTTAAAGAGATACAAAACACCACGGTGCCAAATATACGCCTTGTTAGGATCTGCATAAATTACCATAACCGTGAATACTCATGTTACTACAAACATTCTCCGTAATCGGGTTTTTGTTACTAACAAACCTATACAATTTCCGCTTTCAAGGAAAAATCCCATATGGATAGAATTATCGAAGAGAGGATATCTTATCTGTACCTAGCGGTGACAATACCGTAAACGAAGATTCATAAACTTGATGCTGTTTTATACAAGAGTCAATTTCTTCTACTAATGTTGGATGTTGGCCTGCAACGATTAGTATGTGTTTTACGATACATATGAGCGAAGGACGATATGCTGTTCCATTGTGTTCGTACCACAAACGTTCTCTCCTTAGCGCATGCAATGTACAGATTTTGTTAGCACTAATAATTTTGAATCCAACAATTTAAGACTGTAATATCGCAATTACAAAATCTTCCCGTACGACATTACTTCCGTATAGATCAAAGCGTTCTGTTCGTTGTATATACGTTGCGATTATGATTAGATCTGCGATGGTTAAAGTTACTTTTTTGTAAATAGTTACTACGGCTAAAAGAAGTTGGTGATCCAGGAGCGCACAAACTAAGTTCGAGCCAGCATTTTGAGGTAAATCCCAGTCTATCTATTAAACTATCTATTAACGAACAAACAAACATCGAACTGTACTGCATGCTTTGCTCAGGTGGTTTATACGGGTGTACAACAGCACCACATTAAACCCAGCAACAGCTAGCTAAATTTAACAAGTAGAAACAAGTACTTCACATAACTAGATAAACACATTCAAAGTTAAAGACCGCAAAACGTTTACTAATGTTTACACACGTACGTTTTCATATTTATGATTCTTTTTGAGGTCGGAAGATTTGTCAGTTCAGATAAAGATTAGGCCAAGCCACATAGGCCAATCGATGTTTGTCGGGAGTAAATACTATACCGGCTTACGAAATAAGCGATCTAGGATAGCTAGGTATTAGCAGGTTGTATATACACTTCGCACTTCATAAACACGAAACTGCATAACCGTTTGTGGACATTCATAGGCCACTTTTTCTATGAGTGCTTATGCTAGGACCAAAAATAATTCTGGTGAGAAAGTATATGTTTATATTTTAGATCAGTCATATGCACCTCTAGAATTTATCTTTTCAACATGCTTTATCACTGTCTAAACCTATCCAACTTGGCGGTAATTATATGCTACATATTTTTATCATTCACATGAATCCAGTGAGCTGTAAATGCTGATAACAAACATTTTTATATGTACGTACAACTCGAAGATATGACTGTCACTTGCCTCGCTTTATTTTTACTAAGTTCGAAGAGAAACTCGAGAATTTTTTGAACAAATAACGCTATCCTTAGCTTGTAATCCTTGCGACAGAAGTTTTTACACTTTCTTTGGTAGCTCCATTGTCATTATACTACTTACGCCCCCATATCATTATAACACAACATTAAAACGGCTTGTTAACATCAATAGTTAGCGTCGTACAGCATATCGAATCCGTCTCTCTTTATCTCTCGCTTGACACGGAGAGGGTACCGTTTCGATGCTATTTTTTTTTGCGAGATTTTCATTTGAAAAACAGCCTTACGAGAAGGCGAAGAGACATGGAGTAAGTAGACCCACGAAAGTCTCCTGGTCTGGCATGGATGGTCAAGCGAGATCTGACAGCCGCTGTACTTCTGTAACCCTGGTGCAGCAGCAAGAAGAGTAGATAAAGAAATTTTGTCTCTATTTGAGTTCCTTGGACTGAAAAGCTTCTATTCGAGAGAGTATTTTCAAACATTTCTTCAGATACGATACTCCTAGAACATGTTAGTGACGTGCTTTGCGGACGTCGAAGTTGTCTGAACTGACTGAATGGCGCAGACGGTGGAGTTGAGTAATGCCAAATAGGTCTCTCGGTCGGGTGGCGGCCGCAAATAGTAAGAATAACATCTCTGTCCAGACTAAAGATATTATTACATCGAAATAAAGTCGTTGTAGCTACTAGTTTCGTTTCGTTTTCTTTTGCTACAGTTAATTCACATTAGATTAAACGGTAAATCCTAGCCTCAAATCGTAAGAACATTCAAGATGACCCATTTGTGAATCCTGTCATAGACACGCTTCGGTACATGCTGCTTGACATAATACCTAATGGTATTTAGATCATATTAGTTGGTAAGTGTGAAACAATGGGCCATGTCAGAAGCTGCCACGAACCCTGTTACTTTCGCGATTTTTCTACTCGTAGCTTACCTGGAACTTATGGTTTAGTATGTAGTACAATCTCTTTATAAATTACTATAATAAGTAGATAAAAAATATATATATAAATGAACACAAATTCCGATAAAATTCGCACATACCCTTTTCCCTGTTTTCCGCTAGGGAGAAGCGGAAGTTGAAGGGAGTGTCCAAAAATACACTTTGCTCATAACTGTGTTCAAAAAGTTGTAGGGGTAGCGGCACGAGAAAACTGTTGCAGTTCACCTTTACTGTTTCTTATGAAGAACAAAAATCTGGTTCCTGAATCCACAAGTATGTTTTATTTTTAGCGAGATTCCCCGAATTGAACATAAACCCAATGAAACCTACTATACTTTATCGGCATACCGCCTAAAAGCGATTTTCCACGCACCTATACTCACAAGCAAGCATCTTCACAAATCCATAAACGGACATTAGATGGCCAGACATTACACGAAGTGCGTAAAATTGACAAACGATTATACTGTGCCGAAGGCGGCAGATTCGTGGGCGAAACAGGAACACATAGGTAACCTGTGTTGCCGGTAGACTAGGCGTCCGCAGCTCTAAAGAAGACCTTATATTTGTATTATCGAGCACTGTGATTTTTTAACTATAGATTTGTCTTCTTTGTCGGTTTATCGCAACTAGCCAAGCGTTGTTTTTTGTCCAGTTACATCCAATGATGGTTTAAGCGGTTACAATTTTACCGGTACCGGTTTTAGCGGTACCGATGATGTGTGTCGGTGGCCGCAGAGTTGTTACAGAAACAACAAATATTTCTTATTGCTAATAAATTAGGCATCTGCACCCTAAGTAAATTTTCCTTTCCATATATTTATATAAGTTACTACGTATTGACATCTCTAAAACTGCTGCCACAACTACACCTATCACTCGCGGCTTTTAGTGACTGTACCATAAAAGAGACTATACATTCTTGAATAGTACGCAGAAAATGGCGAGACGATTCGAGGTCGTTAAATATCAGCACACAGAAGCTTATTGAGATCCAACAATTATGCAAAGATTTGTATACTATTACTATGTATGCGTTATATATCTCTGGCTCGTCCGATATTGTCGCGGTATTTTCCAAGGCTCAATTTGTAAGAATGACCGCTGGAACGTCGGGAAACGGTTAGGTCATATGTAACCTTTAAGTTCACCGTGTTTAATAATCGGTCAGTATCAATCTTGAAGACAACCGATAGCAAAAAAATATTGCGCAAACCTGACATTCATCTGCCAGGGTGATACGCCTATGTGCACGTTTTTCTTAGTCGAATTAGTCTCAGATGTTCGATTTATCTCTCATAAGTTAACAGCATCGATACTTTAACGCCTGATCCGTTTTACCTAGCTTTTTCAGGCGCCAAGTGGTAACTTCCTATCGAGTACCCACAGCACGACAGAATCCCTGGCATTAAACGGCTCAAGCAACTGATTCAGTAGATAATCAAAAATACTGAACCTATCGCACAAATTTTGCAGGCCCCATATATAGAATATCAGGCAGCCTGCTTATCACGTGCCGACATATGATCGTGTGCATATAATTGTCGATTACTGTAGGATGAACGGTTGATGTGACATAGCTACCGCGTATCCTGTGACTGTGATCGGCGGAAACGACTGATATTTAGCTAAGGGAACCCCATTCGAACGTGGCGTCTCCAGTTCAGTAGTTGATGACTTGAATGAGATGCGACGCAATGACGCGCGGTGTCCGGAAAGCTCCCGGAAGCTGACTGGGCCTTTTGATGACTTGCAGATTTTCCGCCGCTATCTCCACTACGTCGACGATACATTAGGGTACGCCAAGGCTGAATTCCAGCGTAGGTAACCATCGCTATATCAGAAACGATAATACGTTGTCATTTACCGGGCAAGAGTTAGCTATTGAGGGCCACCATGGCCCCGCAGAAGCTGAGAAGCAGGGTTAGAGGGCTGTCATTATTTTCAATGGAGAAGGCGAGCTGTAGGATATCACTTGACTGCTTCGGTTGTTCCTGCAGGTCTAGTGTAAATCTCAACTAACCAACTGGAAACCAGAACTTTGAGAGTTGTCATAGCACACAAGCGCAAGGTTAACATTAAAATCTATTTCATTTCTATTTCTCTGCAGTATTTTCAGCTTTTATAGTGATTTTCTGTGATTTACTATGCGGATCAGTGCGTTGCGTAAGTTTAGCAGAACTTAGTGATTTATGAAGATGTAGTTGAGTTCAACGCGTAAACGAGTCGATTAACAAACAGCAAAAGATTCGTGCATATAGCCAAATTTGAAAATTTAGATTGGGGTGCATTTTTAAGCTAGGCAGTGATAGCTGGTAAGGAAAGAAGACATTGAGAACACTTAAGAAGAGTAACTTATACATTTGATCTAGGAGCATGACATAATGAGAATTTGTTGCATGAATGATACCTGTGTATACACGAATTTAGCTTCCGTATCTCGAATAGCTCGCTGTACGGTTACGAAATCGTAAAAAATAATAATTAATAATTTCATTAGTGCGTATAATATATCTGAAAGTAAGTATTCTTATTACTTATTAAGTATGTTCTTTACTTCTATCCGCAGTGAGTTGATCTATATATGCACCTTGCTGACATGGTACGCCCTTCATGGATGTTCAGTTTAGCCCTGGCTGTAGTTTTAATCGTATCCAGTTCTCAATTAAAACTGGTGCGTCGGCCAGAGGTAAATTCATGGGGAGAGACATTTGGCGATCCTCCAAGATCATCATACTCATTAAGTAAGTTAACCTTATTGCGTATTGCTTCTCATTGCTGATATACTACTTTTTGTGTTAAATTAAAAATTATAAAAAATATTAATATAACGTGTTTATATTTAATTATTCGCGTTCATCATTGAGCAATATATAATATAGCAATAAATCATTGCATAAAATCCATGCCGAATTTTCGATCGCACAGCATCTGACCACCCTTAATAATAATAAGTACATAGGATATTCATGACTACCGATATAAACGACGTCATTTAAATACTGACTCCGGGTGTAGTATCTAGTAGTTCGTTTCTCAATAAGGCAGCCTGCGTAGTGCATATATATAGTATTCTTGTTGCACTACCTTTTTACCTAGAGAGGCTTTTCAAATGCTACAGTTAGAAACTTGCCAATGAGGAAATATTGAATGAAACAATGAAAAATTGCTCGCATAGATAAATAGGCATTTGAGTAATTCAGCAATAACAGTTAGAGTATCAACGTTTGCTATTTACAGATACACCTAGAGCAGTTCTTCGGGAGAGATACTGCTTTCCGAAGGGCTGGCCGGAAGGCAGGATCGACTGGCACGCAGGTTACAGGTATACGTGACCCTTTAAATAAATTGTGCGAGTGTCGAACTTTGGTGATTGGGTCTTTTTCCATTTTAAGCTTGGAGGCCAAATCAGCAGGCCCTGCTGCTTATCCTGGTGATACAGCTCAGTGCCTGGCGTGAGTTGTGTCACAAACATCAGTTTTCCTTCGCTCTGATAACAACATAGCATATAGGCATCAAAGTAGAAAATTATCAAACAATACACAATCCTAAAGGGTAAGGAGCACGTTTTGATTTTTCGGAAGATAGCCAGCCAAGTAATGTTTTCTTTTTCAATTTTCTCTGAATACATATTTGTGCGTCAGTTTCAATAGGAATTTGAATGCTGCCTAGAATTAGGCCTAAATAAAGCGAACACGCCCTAATTTAGGAAAGAAAGACAGTGCAAGCTCAAAGTGACGTTCTAAACTCCAGGTCAAGTATGTGACTAGTGTCATGAAGACACATACTATTAGTAGTGTGCCGATGCTTACGTCAGGAGCTCTTAGATTTCTGAAATAAAAACGTTTTCTTTGGGGGTAATCCATAGAATTGTAGTCTGCTTAACGTTCCGAACATCTTGCTTCTTGCAAAAACATTGACGTTGTTTGTCCGACTTGATGCCGTTCCGGCTAACGAGCACGCACGCGTGAGTCAATTGTCCGTCTACTTTAATTGGTTATTTTGCGACTTGGCTAGATCGCACATTCTGGAAAATTCGAGCAGAACTAGGTATAGAGCTGCACGAAGTTCAGTGGTTTCTGCTTTGATAAGATCAAGCGTGACCACTTTAGCTGAGTGGCCAAACAGAGTTATTCTATGCAATTTGAGGTACGGATCACAAATGAGGCATCTAAGCACTGCACAGCATGGTCATGTTGCTCGCATGCTTTTAGAATTATCATATATGACACTTGGCATACGATTTATATCTTTCAGTTACCATGAAGAGCTCTAACAGAATACAATTTTCTCTTTGTCCTTTGTTGCCTTCATGATAGCATGTGCTAGATGCATCTGTGTTGGCGCAAACTTATTCATCCATCAAGTTCATTTTAACATGAATAGATATATTGGTTAGATAACGCAGGGGTTTTCTTTCTCAATACTGTCTCTTGATTGGACTGGGTTGCACAGGTGTCTCGTAGTGGAATGTCACCCATTGGACTACGTGTGCCCATCAGGAGACTCATTTACCTTTCATGAACGATGTATGGCTTGCGACTTCATGCGAGACCTCGAATACGCCGGCTGGATTGTGCCCCATTATGATTATGACACTAACGACTACCGTTTTCCTTAGACACATTGCATTCATTGACAGCCTAACATAATTATTATTTATGTATTGTACACTATAAACCTGCTTGGGGATATTAGATCCTAAGCTAAGATCATTTGCATACAGCTGTTCTCTTGTTTGAGGAGAGGGAGCTTAGAAGTTACAGATGGCCAGCTCTTGTAGGGTATTTCGGTATACAACATTCTGTATATAGTAAATTGATTACAGGGAAAGGGACTTCATGTCGTAGTAATGACCGACCCAACCCAGTTCCTTTTGGCTTTATGAGACATGCAATAGGCTGAGAAACCAATAAATGCATCGAGAAATACACTTGCCGTAGGTTTTTTCATTCTACACTCCTCGATTAAGACAATCCTTGCTATGCGTGCGAAATGGTACACGTTTTTGTGGCTAACATTTGTTGTCAAACTTTGAAAGAGTACTTGTGCTTTGTGTTTACAGCTCTTTAAACCTGTAATCCATGTATTTTCCGTCTATCATAATGTTATTGAAAAGTATTTCATAAAATATGAACTTGTTCTTAGTTACTGCATAGTTCGATGGGCGTAGCGGTAGCCATTCCATTTACCCACCAGACTGCGCGAGGATTTTATATTAAGCATTCTACTAAGTGAGATCTAGCTTTCGCGCACGGATCGCCGTTTTACAACTGCTAGTAGTATGGTCCATAGAGTGAGTCCAACCGTACCACACAGCCGCAAATCACAGTGACCGAATCTGAGGGTTATGGGTAACGATGATATGGCCGGTTACGTCCAATTTTGCCCCGGGTTCTAGCGGGGTGGCGACAGCCCCGGACAAATCACTTATGCAGATACTGATCAGAGAGTCGGGCGAAAGTGATAACGAGTAAGACAGAAGGCCGGAACTAAGAACACGATGACAGCGAAGAACGACATCTATATGGATGATTTGAAGCCAGCAGTAGAAGTGTATCAGACGACTCGTCTTAGACCGTGCAGCTAGCTAATCAAGTAATGACCAGTCTGTGAGTTTGCGCGCTTTGCTCAGATACAACCTGTTCTGTTTTTCAGCTAATCATGTCGTACTTGTCAACACATGATAGCCTTTGTAACAGCTTTCGTTACTCTTCATCGGTCGACTTGTCGGCGAGTAAGAAATAAAGCATTTGCCACGATGCCGCGAATATTTGAATGCTGCCCTACAGGCCGGCTAGAGTTTTCTGGTTCTCTGATCCCATTCGTTTGTAGCCAATGACATTGGTCGATTACCACACGACGACGTGCATAGTGTAGCTGACAGCTGTCTGTTCGACCAATGGAATCATACAACATCGAAACCAAAGATTGGTGCTATGTCGTACAGGCCTGCACGGACCGGTGGACTATCAAATCTGCAAGGTAAATTAATAAATGTACAATTTTTAACAATGTACAAAAATTTATATTATTAGTATGTTTTTTTTTTTAATTCATTCAGGGAATCATTACCAGGCGTTATCGCTGTAGAATTTAGCTAAGTTAGTAACTGCGATATCGTAATGCCTTCAGAATTGCCTCGGTGGTTGACCTTGTTCGTGTATCGCGAGGCGCCGTCAACTTAAACTAGACAGACTATTAACAGCACTGCTAACAAAAACTTCCCAGTCACTTACGACTTAAGACTGACTCTTGTAAGTTGTCTTGTCGATCGACACTAATCTTCCTATATTCCTCGTTATATATATGGCCATTGTGAGAAGTGTACTATAGAGAACGGTTACAAAACGAACGAAAATATAGGTTTCGTTTTTTAAACGAACATATTCGAATGCTGGTTGGTGTCACAGTTTAAGTTCTGACGCTACTAATGCGTTGACGACGCGTTATTGGTATTACGGTTCCTACGTTGAGCGGTTTGGTACGCGCTCTAATCCAATCATCTCGTAGGTTTGCATCTAATATGCCGTTCCGGTAATATAGAGGAACAAGCCAGAAAATAACGCGGACGTTCCACTGGTCGACCAATTTACACAGCCATCAGATAAAACGTTGCTCGACCAGACGGCACGGCTGTGCGCATCGATGCGTCTAGAAGTGTTTAGTCAGTCGCACTTACATTAATAGGATCGTATGCAGTAAAAAAGCTGCGAAACCTATGTCTATTTTGGCAGTACGCCTGAAATGATCTGATGCAAAGATACTTTAAACGGAATATTTCATTACTTTAGTGGTATATTTATAGTTGGCCAAACGAGTGTAGAATTTATTTTTACATTATTAACTATTCTTCATTGAGAAACACGTTTCAGCGGAAAAAATCTGAGCGCATAGACACAATTGTTGTGCCCACGTTCTTCAACATTTCATCTTAGTTTAACCTGGGAGTGTTCAGCTACGATGACTGACCTGTTTGATGCCATAAACAAATATTGCAGTCTTCTTGATACATTCATATTTGTCTTCATTCGTCGCAAACTAGCATACATAAGTGAAGTACGTATATATACATCGCCGACTATCGCGACCTTTTTAGTACTGGTAAACAATTCTGATCGCTTCTCATATGAACTTGATTCATTAACGCGCCGGCGACGGCGACGGCGGCGGCAGCGGCGGCATTGTGAATTCATCAGTCGTTCAGTCATTTCAATTAAAGTCAGCTTTACATTGCATTAAATAAAGTGATTTGAAATTTCAGAATGGAAATCGACACTATATAAATTGCAGTATATACAAAAGCTTCTTCTGTTTCAAGTGGGCCACCACATGTTACTATCGGCATCTTTCGCAAGTATAAAAAGCAAACAAAACTGTCTGCCTATTTGTTATATTTCAACAGTGAGCGTTTTCAGTTTTTTTTATACAGGAAAACAATCATTTTCATAGCAATAGACACCTGAGTGGTAGATCTGTTTGTATGTTCCGACTGTTCACATCGCTTCCTTTGTCTTAGGCCGTCTTTGTATTTCCTTAATATACCTGACGCAACATAACGATAATGAATCATTGATGCGTTCCATATTCTAAAGCTTTCCTCAAGGTACAGATTAGAAAAACGCTGGTTCTATGGACCCTAATTCATTATATGCCCTCTGACCAGAGAGTCGCTGAATAAACTGATCGCTAAGATATAACTTTATTTTTATATACATATTTAAAATTTATCTATATGTATATAAAGTAACGTATATGTGGCTTGTGACGCAGTACAAAGCAACATTTACTGTTGCTGGATTTACTTTACGAAAGAGTTTCGGCTACAAATATTGAATTCTTATAACAGATAAACCCACAGCTATATATGTTTCTCTTATTTTTTGTTCCTTGCGATAGGGCGGTCGAGTATCTATCGTTATCAAAAATTAGTATGTTTCTTTCCGGAATTAATACCTGAATAAGATGCAATGGTTACTCATGCAGATCTGGAAAAAGTCATTGAAAATAAAGTTTAGTGTTCCATGACACTTGCCCCATCAATGGCGAGGTGTGAATAGTTGGCATCTTTCACAGCTCGGCTACCATGCATCTAAGGATCAATTTTTGACCTATGGATCAATTTGATATTACGTTACTGCAAACGAGAAACGGCGTTTCATCAATGATAGTCTCCTTAGCTGACAGTGTTATTTGCGTGAATAATAGGCCAGTATTATACGGCTTTCGAATAACACCTAAACGTAAAAAATCTCCAGATTTGTACGGAGAAATGTTCTCTCGCTCATTGCGTACGACAGTCTCTTCCACCTCGAACCTATTTTAAACCTTTTTTTATACACATACTACGTGCACTCAATATCCACACTGCAGACGCACGTAGCTCTGCATAGGTGTGTAAGATATTATTTTAGTAAGGAAGCAGCTGGATACCCTACACGAGTGCCCACATTAGGAGTTTCGTCCTTTTAACCCGTTTCGTATAGATCTGTGCCCTGTGAACACCTACAAAGGTTTCCAAACGAGCAAAGTATATTTTGACTGATATATATTCGGGTCAATATGAAGTCTTGAAAATGATTTTTTCCAAGCGTAATCAATTAGGAGCTGAACCTCAGGCACAATTAGAAGTCCTCCGACGGAAAAAGAATCTGCATTGTACTTGGATGATTAGGCGACTGTGTGCCTAGCGGACATGATTTCCTTATATATACATTCGCCAGACTCCATGCTCTTAGGGGCTCGGTTGTTCGCGATAAAAATTTATAATTTATTTCAACCTCAGAAACAAACGGCCGATAACCACGTAATGAACTGGGAGTTTGCTACTGGGAACAGCAATGTATAAGTTGCACTTAGCAGCTAAATACAGTGGATGTAACGCAAAACTAATAACAGGGACGTAAGCATTTGACGCGATCCAAAGTGAGTTTGGATCAGAAAAACGTATGAACGCATTAAAACTAGAACTGTTTATCTGTGACAACGCCGTTGATACATATTGAGAAAATAAAATGTTTAATAGCATTAGTTCAAAGCTTAATTTTATACCTGTCTATAGTTATTATTGTTTAGCTTCGATTCGTTTAATCGCGGGAACTATCGCACAGCACTCCTATCTCTACAACCAGTTTAATAAATCAGTTTGTGTTTTGTGAGGATCCCGTTGCGCCATGTTAGTCAATCTCATTAGTATAATAGTCTTCCGAAGTTTGATATCTTACATAACTTTAGTTGTGGTTTAATTAAGAACTTGCTCCTTGGAAAGTTCAAGCCATATTTAAATAGCGAATTGAATATATGTATGCATATAGTAGTTATTCTGCCAGATTGGCACATGGATAAGTTATCAAACACATACTGTGCAGCGTTTTCTCATAGCGAAACGACCGAGGACACTCTGATCGTGGTCCGGAAGGCGCAGACCATACGGTTTCGGTCCCCCAAAGCTGACTCCATTTTGCCAATATGATTTGTGAAAAACCCAGAAAAGATGCCCATACAGAAATAGACGTTAAGTACCTTTTGAATCTAATGGCCAATAATAACGATACACATCGACACGCCCGCGAAGGCGGATTGCGTTCAGTCGTAAGTTCAAAAAGACAGTCGAATATTCGCTGCAGCTTTCTACCGTTGTGCTGATCAAGCAATTATTTCGAATTCACTCTTGCTACACCGATGCAAATAGAGAAGAGTAAACAGGAGAGCTGATGTTTCAACATAGATTTTTGACTAGTATATGTACCCAGTAGAGAAGCTTACTGTTTGAATTGAAGATTCGCAAATTCTACCCCTTAGATCAGACGAAGATTACCTGATTGAACATAACTGGCTTTAGAAAAAAGCAAAAGCAAAGTGTCACCACTTTGAAATCTGTCGAACAGCCAGCCTATCCTA